GATACTCCTACCCTTGCCCAAGTAGGCATCACTGTCAGGATCCTCCTGGTGGTCGCTGCTACTCCTATGTTCTTGTCCGAATAGTCGTGTCTGTTGACATCCTCCCCCTTGATGCTACCATCCCCGCTTCCCTCCCTCGCCACGCTCTTCTTGGGCAGACTGCCGTCGATCCCACCCTCGTTGGTGACAATATGCCGTGCGCTCCCCCGAACTCTTGCCCCTACCCACTCTTTTCCTGCCAGTTTGTGGTTGTTGGCGTACCGGTATCCTCTGGCATGCGCTACGTTGGCGTCGACGACGCCAGCAGGAATCGTCTGCATGTAACCTCTTGAATCCATCACCACATTGTACGAGGTGGGTTCAAGATTTTCATCGTCGTGGACCTTGACAAAGGAGCCAAGATTTCGGTGTCCGTGAAACCGAGTCCCGATTCCGACATGCGTATCTCCCTGGTTTGATCGAATCAAAGGCGTAATACCGCAGGGCATCGTTGCCAAATATATGCTTCGTTGTCAGCTTTAAGGAGGGTAACTCGTCAAGGTAACCCATATGCATCTGAAACAATACTCTACGTTTTTTACAGTAGCACGACACGGTTGTCGACTTGTGCAAACATTATCTGGCATCCGAAACACATTGGTACGTACCATTGTTGAAGAAATAGGGGTGCATTGAAGCACGGTCTTCAAGAAGGTCACTCATTCATTCTTCCCCATGACATTCATAGACAGGCTTTCGGTGTCCCAAGTTGCGGTGTGAAACTGGGTCCCGACTCCTTCGAAACATGACGATTCACTGTCGTAACGCTACGTGAGAATTTCACTTCTCCATTCTTGTCCATGACATTCACATCGAGGGCTATATGTGCCAGAAGTTTCGGTATGAAATCGAGTCCCGAGTCCGACCCGCATGTCTCCCTCGTTTGATTGCCCTCGTTTGATTGAATCAGGGTCATAACATCACAAGGCGTCATTGCAGAAAGTTGTTTCACGGTCAGCTTCGGGGAGGATCACTCGTCGAGAGAACCCAAGTTTGCATCTGATGCAAGACTGTGTGTTTTCGGTAGAACGACAAGGTGGTCGCATCAGGAGTGAAAGCTATTCAAAGTCTGTGATACGTATCCCAATACACGTAGAACCATGTCGTTGAAGAAGTAGATCGTCACGGAAACAAGGTCTTCACGAAGGTCACTCACATATGCTTGCCTATGACATTCATAGACAGGATTTCGGTGTCCCGAGTTGCGGTGTAAAACCGGGTCCCGACTCCTCCAAACATGCTGTTTCACTGTCGTAACCCTACGTGAGAATTTCACTCCTTCGTTCTTGTCCATGACATTCATATCGAGGGCTGTATGTGCCAGAAGTTCCGGTGTGAAATTGAGTCCCGCATCCGAGACGCATATGTCCCTCGTTTGATCGAATCAGGGTCATAACATCACAAGGCGTCATTGCGCAAAATATGTTCCACGGTCAGCTTCGATGAGGGTCACTCGTTGAGAGAACCCAATCATGCATCTTATACAAGACTGTGTGTTTCCGGTAGAACGACACGGTGGTCGCATCAGGAGTGAAAGTTCTTCAAAGTCTGTGATATCCCAATACACGTAGAACCATGTCGTTGAAGAAGTAGGGCGTCACGGAAACACGGTCTTCACGAAGTTCACTCATTTCTTCTTGCCGATGACATTCGTAGGCAAGGATATCGGTCTCCCAAGTTGTGGTTTCAAACTGAGTCCCGACTTCTTCGACATATTCTATGCATAGGCAAGGCGGTCAGTGACCCAAGTGGCGGGGTTCAACTGAGCCTTGACTTCACTGTCAATTCCCCACGTGGGAATTTCACTCCTTCCTTCCTGTCCATGACATTCGTATTGAGATCTGGCTGTGCCCGAAGTCCCGGTGTCACACGTGCACCTCTCTCGGTTGATCGAATCAGAGGCATAACATCGCGGTGGGTCCTCGCGCAAAACATGTTTGACTGTAATCTTCGAGGAGGCTTCCTCGTTGAAGGATGAATGTGCATCTGAAGCCAAACTCTTCATTTTCTGTATATAAAGTAGCACGACACTCACGGGATATGAAAATACTGCGAACCCAAGAAGATAATCCAAGGTAAAATGGTACGATGTGGGTGAAATGTTTGGGCTATGACATGTAAACAGACCTGATCAATTTATCTCCTTCCGTCCATGAAATTCGCAGCAGATTCCAGGTATTCGAGGAAATACCCTACACCAACTCTGACAGGCGAGGCAAAAAACATCTGTCAACCCACCTTGTGCTCACGCCCAATCGCCTTTCCCCCAAACGTATGCACCGTCCGAAGCAGTTTCCGATCCGCACGCTCTTGCTGAAGTTGTTCCGCTTCGGCGTTTCCGTCGATTATGCCCTCCGGCGCACTCAGCGAAGGATGTTTGGCTTTCCACCCCCAACCCTCCTTCCACGCTTTGCTCAAGGAAACCGAGGGTTTCGCGCTTCCTCCAACCCCTGCGGTCCGTATGCCCACCTCCCACAGATAATCCACCCCTGTCCGCCTCTTTTGAACGTGTGTCCCCGGCCGTCTGCATTCCATCTTCCTCGGCCCTCTTCCAAACCCCCAACGTCTATTATTTTTGCTCCCATTTCTTCTCCATTCTCCCTTTGTTTCTCCCCTCCACTTGCGCCCTCGTTCTCGGCCGTCGTAACCCTAAATCTTGAGAAGGCAGCAGGTTGATCTACATGTATCTCGGGAACCCCCTGTTGGTTTTGGCCGAATAACGGCTTGCGCGATAGCTGGTGGGCGTGGAAACTTCGTGAAGGTGGTTTTGTGCCCATTAGATGTGTTCTCGGAACGTTTCGCGCGGTATCGTAAATATGGCATAATGTCGACATCGGCGAGGTGGTGCTGCGGCCGTATTCTTGGGCGTATCTCGGGAACCCCAAGTTGGTTTCGGCCAAACAACGGCTTGCACGACAGCTGGTGAGCGTGGGAACACAGCGCAATAGGTTTCGTGCCTATTGGAGGTGTTTTCGGAAAGTTTCGCGCGGTGTTGTAAATATGCTTATTTGCGACACCGCCGAGGTGGTGGCGTAACATCACTCTGTGCCATATCTCGGCAGCCACCGGTCACTATGGAACGAACGAGGGCTTGGGTGACAGTTAAGACCCGTAGGAAAACAGAGAGTGTAGCTTCGACGCATTTTGTGCGGTGTCGTAATTTTTTTTATGTTTTTTTTGTTCGTTGTCCGTTTCGCTTCAAGAACCACAAAACGACGTAACAAAAAAAGTACAATAAAAGATCAGTTCGGGACCCCTTGAACTTTTTTTTTGCGGCATTGCCGACAGAATTGTTTTTGTGCATCGGCAATCGATTCCGCTAGGCCGATTACGGGAGTTCGAGCCACTCAGAAATTTTCTCATAAACCGAAACTCAGCTGCTCAGAATAATAATAGAAAATGACATTGTGGTTGAATCCTCCGGAATACGTCACTTTGCCACGCCTGTTTCTAAAAAAATAGTAGCTAGCGAACTGGGCCATTCGGATTAAGATTCATGATCCCCACCCTAAACGTACCCAGCACTGAGACTTACATCCCTTAGAGCCGGCTTTTGAGATTTTGAGGGGAGGGGATGCTAGCCTTCCATCCCCCCGATTTTTTTGGCGTTTTGGGATAGCTATAACTCAGTGCCATCAATGAATTTGGAGTCTCTGACGACGGATTCGCACTTCTCCACCCGAGGTTTCCCTATCCCAATTGTTTTTTGTTCAATCAGAGGGGGGCCATCCCCGCTTTCTGGCGTTTTGACAGTTTTCCCTGGAGGAGAGAACAAACCTAGACAGAAACGAGTTTCCCCTCCAAACCTCTACGGCCGGTCGGATAGAGCATTACGAACACACAAAGAAGAGAATCAGACCTTGCCCAGGGGTGGTACCCCCCAAAAAAGTTCCATGACGATCATCTGCGGATGGCGCCTGCACTGGACGCTTTCCCCGAATGTCTTGTTACACGTTGGTAAGTCACTTCTTAACAACCGACTTCCATTACATCGCACGGGAGAACACGAACGAATCGGGCAACCGTATGCCATCGTCCGGTAATATTCAATTTAAACGGGCCAAGAAAACTCGTTTTTCACAACACCTACGGCAAGCTCAAACTCTAAACTAGTTTTTGGCGAGACGAGGTAATAACGGCTACAGTAGGACTGAGGAGGAGGCATGTAGGGTGGGTGGATGGGAAATTGTCTAACCCTCAGCCCACTATTACTTGTAGTCTTTGTCGGAAAATCTGTTGCCCGAACAAGTACGAACAAGTACTCTACTTGACACAGTTGTCCCTTCCTCGTCCCTTTTTTTTCACTGTACCGTTAAGAAACAAAATGTTCTCGTCCTTCAGTGCATAGGTCATATTTTGCCCGTTAAGCAGGTGCATTTCTCCACTCATTGAAAAGCCTTCGACACATCCCTTCGGCTAGGGTACAGTATTGTATCGAACGGGTTTCGTTCTACTGTTCGACATTACGTCCGCCGCCCATGCTGCCTACCTCTCGGTGATGTTAAGGACTCGTCTCGATGTCCAACACTAGCCTGATGAGCCTCTTCTATCAAAACCACTGGCTCCATGCTGCCTGCTTGGAGTCCGTTTGCCTTGAACTTATGTAGGAACTCTACAAGGCGCCCACCTTATTCGCTATTGAGCGCAGCAGAGCACAACAACATGCTGCTCGCGTGTCCAACCATAGTTCATCATGTATTGGTACAGGAGCCGAAGGGTTCGACAACAACTACACGTTCCTCAGCCAAGTCAAAATCAACATATTGACATTCGGACCCAAGTGGCTTCACCTACAATACAACAGCTTGGAACAGTTTACTGGCTGCGCACGTTGTCGTCAACTTGCCTCGCTATTGCGAGACACGTCGTGCACCCTTTCCACGAAGGACAGTCACCACATGCATGAAAACATTCCATCGACGGTCCATCCATACTGTACGAACAATAGGTGCAAGATTGGATCAGCACCGCAGCCAGTCACCGTGGACGTGAGCAAGATATGCGACGTCCCTATACACTTGATGCAATTCCCCTTTCAGAGCTGTTCCCCTGTAATGCTCTTCGCGTTTGCAGTGACCGCTACCACCGCAGGCAGCTTCTTCCACCCTCGTCTTCACACCTGCCACACGGAACAAACAATTTCAGTATGTGCCATCAGGCCTAAGCGCAATCAATGCGCTGTGCATGGGGTATGCCTACAAGACGGTCCAGTCGAGCACGAACCTTTTTTCGAACAAGTTCCAGGTCGTTCCGAACACCAACCGTGTCCAGGTGGTTTTCCCCAAGGTTCTTCGTATGGATTAAGAGGGCTCTTTCCAGGAGTGGACTGGCCTCCGTGTACTTCTCCTGTGGACGGTTGAGATGCAGGATCGAGCACATTAACCCAGTGCGCAAACCGCATGAATATTCGCGAAGATTTTGTGAAAAACCCGATAGATCCGTGCAAGGGTGTGTTTAGTAAAGTATTTTACTCATCCGTTGAGTATTTCCTTGAGCAAGTATTTCAAAAATACTCAACAAATACTTTGAGTAAGTGTTTCAAAAATACTCACCAATACTCAGGAGATTGATTCAGTGTAAGTATTTCAGAACTACTCACGCGTACTCAGGCATTGCAGTAAGTACGTCATAATGTACAACTTCTCGATGTAGGTCTTGCCCCGTGGGGTTCGGAGGGGCATGCAATAGTTTTCCACAGAGAAGAGAGGAGTCCTCGCGTGCCCCTTCCTGCCGGAAACCGTCTGGTGCTTTTAAGTTCTTGACAGCGGACACCGTTTCCGCCGTCACAGAGTACACTTCGGAGTTCACCGTGCTGTAAGCAACAGCCGGTTCTCTGACGCGCACCGTTCGATCTGGATCACCTCAGCATCTGCTGCTGCTGCTGCTGCTGATGCTGCTTACGCAGCCTCCAAGGGTGCTGCATTGGCGGGTGCCTCTGCATTTGCAGCAGCTGCGTCACATAGGAACTTCGCCGCTACCTCTACCTGATGAGTATTGAGTATCGCTTTAGTGGCGAGCCGCGAGTAATCGTGTGCATCAGCAGAGTGTGTGGCGGTGGTGCACCCAGGGCCCGCAGAGAATGCCCCGTACTACTGACGTCATCATTAGTTACATTTTAGTCTAGGGTGGAATTCACCGGTACGCGTAGAGTACTGCTTAACCATAGTCGAAGACTGAGTAAGTACTTCAGGGATATCATTACTGAGGAGGATGAGTAATATATTTCAAAAATACTCATGTGTACTCAACAGTTTGAGTAAGTATTTCGAAAACACTCATCAACACTCGGCAGGTTGAGTAAGTATTTTAAAATTACTCGTGCGTACTCAGATACTTGAGTATTTTACTCATTCGTTGAGTATTTCCTTGAGTAAGTATTTCAAAAATACTCATCTGTACTCGGATTTTTGAGTAAGTATTTCAAAAATACTCATCCGTACTCGGATGTTTTAGTAAGGATTTCAAAAATACTCATCGATACTCAGGAGATTGAGTAAGTATTTCAAAACTACTCATGCGTACTCAGCTACTCGAGTATATTTACTGAACCTTGAGTCAATCCTTGAGTAAGTACTTCAAAATACTCATCCGTATACTCAAGCGTTTTAGTAACTATTTCAAAACTACTCAGCCGTTTTCACAAACCGAGTTTGAGTATACTTGCTCAAAATACTCTGAGCAGGGCGTTTAGTAATACTTTACTTAACACACCCTTGGATCCATGCACCAGGTACGTAGTACACACAGGCCGTGGGTTGCGGCCGCATGCGGAAGCTCAGAGCACAGAAACCTTTTGTCTATCGTTTGACACCGTGTTCTAACATTGACTCATCCTTGGCAATCTACCTGGGATACAGTCGTGCACAACGGGGTAGAGTTACAGTTCAGTCAAGGTGGGATCAATAACTGCAGGCCCGGCACATTTTCTCGTATGGCTCTCGCGTAGGGTATGCGCCTGGTCGTAGTGACTCGACCTCAGCACATTCGCCGTGCATTCCAAGCAGTGGGCTATAATGAGGGAGCGACCAATACGACTCACCGCAATGTAAGGACTTCATGAGATTGCCTGAAAAAATCGAATGGCTCTTGCTCAACAACCCCACCCGGGTTTTGAGGGGTGTTGGCGCATTGGGGTGTTCAGAACCCATGATAATTTCGAACATCGCTTGTAGGCACCGCGCATAGAGTGGCTCAGGTTCAGTTTTACTTGCCCAGGTATGCAGTCCTTCAAAGCATGTCAGATTTGGATGAATAGCAAAATAGGGTTTCCATGAGAGGTCCTGGAAAATGTAAATGGCACCCACCTGCTTGATCAGCAACACCGCCCGGTTGTTCAGCCACGCGGCAAGATTTGGGTGCTCTAGACCAAGCGCTTTCTCTCCAATAGCGATAGCTCTCACGTACAATGGTTCTGCTTCGCCGAGCTTGCCCTGCAACGTGAATGGACAACGGGATGGGCGTTTGTGCAAGGTGTGAATAGCTCAACGCCGAGAAAATATTGCTCGACAACCCCACTCGGGTGCTGAGCTGCGTTGCGAGAAAATGGTTGTCGGGGCCAAACGTCTTCTCCCCAATCGCACTAAATAGCTCGCAGATAGGGAGGGCACGCCTCTTGGAATTTGCCTTGTGTTGCAAGAAAATGATGATGTCAACGATGGGTCCAACAAGAACGAAAAACGATCACCATCACAATGGACCCTACGATTTTCCGGAAAATTCCTATGACTCTCACCTGATTCCGTAACAACGTCGCCCGGTTGTTCAAAACTATGGCAATGTTTGGGTGCTCCCGCCCCAACGAGTTCTCCCAGATGTCCTGCGTCCTCTTGTACAGCGGTTCCGCCTCGTCGTACTTGCCCTGTCAATGAATCAGAGCGTTAGTATAACGGAGTGGTCAATAATAAACGCAAATTCTTCACCGGCCAAATGTGGATCCTACACTTTCTCACATTTGGATTTTCCGGGCGCACGGCTTCATGAGATATCCTGGAAACTTCGAATGGCTTTCACCTGCTTTTAAAACATCCCCAGCCGGTTATTAAGCGTCTGGACCACATTGGGATGCTCCAGACCTAAAACCTTGTCTCGTATGCATTGTGACCGCGCATAGAGTGACTTGGCGTCAGCATATATGCCTTGCATCCCACCCAGCAGTGAGAGTCTATGAGTGAGCGGTCCACCATGAACTAAGACGATTCACCCCTAAACATGGCTTTCAAGAGAACTCCTGGAACGTTCGAATGACTTTCACCTGCTTGTACAACAACGCCGCCAGGTTGTTCAGCCACGCGGCAAGATTTGGGTGCTCTGGACCCAGTGTTTTCTCTCCAACTGCGATAGCTCTCACGTACAATGGTTCCGCCTCGCCGAAGTTGCCCTACAAACGTGAGCGGACAACAGGATGAGCGTGTGTTGAAGGTTTGAATGGCTCAACGCGGAGAAATATTGCTCAACAGCCCCACCCGGTTTCGAGATTCGTCGCGAGAAATGGGTGTCCCTACGATGTTCCAGGAAATTCCCATGGGACCTCACCTGATTCCACAACATCGTCGCCCGGTTGTTCAAAATTATGGCAATATTTGGATGCTCCCGCCCCAACGATTTTTCCAGGATCTCCTGTGTCCTCTTGTACAGCACTTCCGCCTCTTCGTATTTCCCCTGTCAATGTATCAGAGAGTTGGTGTAACGGACTGGAACGTTATCACTGATAGCCAGCCAGCGGATGAGCAGAGGCTTGGCCTCCTCATACTTGCCCTTGAACGTGACGGTGATGGAAAGAACGAAAATCATTTGGTAACACTGTGAATACGCAGAAATCGTACACATCAACCCCGCCCGGTAGTTGAGCCGTGCGGAAAGAGTTGGGTGGTCAGGCGTCACAGTTTGTTCTCCAATCTCAATAGCTTGAGGATACAGAGGATGCACCTCGGCATACTTGCTCTGGGAGGTGAACGAAAAGCGTCATGCCAGTGTGGCCAAGGCGAGAACATCTCAATACCCCCGGCCAGTGATGAAGCGACTGGGCCACGTCGGTGTGCTCCTGACACAGCGTCTTCTCTCATACTGACTGTGGCCGTTCATAAAAAGTGGCTCGGCATCGTGGTACATACCCTGTGCAATGCAACATGGGTTCGGTCAGCCAGCGGTTCACTAAGATCCGACGTGCATCACCACGAATTTGAACCCTACTGTACCAACTTTCCACGAAACATCCTTGGACTCTCACCTGAGCTCTCAACATCTCCGCCCGGTTGTTGAGCGACTGGGCCACATCGGGGTGCTCCGGACCCACGGCTTTCTCTCGAATGGCCTGTGACCGCTCATAAAGTAGCACGGCCTCAGCATGCTTGCCCTGGCATACGGTCATACCTATCTGTCAGAGTTGTATTAATACATGTAGTTCTTTCCACGTCCTCTGTCATATTGACTGCGACCGTTCACAATGTGGCCCGGCGTCGTCGTGCTTAAAAACCTGTAGGTATAAGGGAGTGGTCCACCGTACCGCGAACTCTTCACCGACCAAATGTGGACCCCAGAAAAATTGACATACGGCATCGGTTTTCCGCATGCAGGGTTTTCTCTTCTACAAGCAGGCTGTGATTGCTCACCGAGTAGTTTCATCATGAAGTAGCGACTGACGAGTCACCAACAAGCGTGAACTCTCGGAACATTGCCGGAAAAACTCGGAAATATTCATGGCCCTCACCTGCGCTCGCAACAGCCCCGCCCAGCTGTTGATGCTTGTAGCGACGTCCGGGTGGTCAGGACCGCAAACTCTCTCACGGATAGCCAGCGACCGAACGTACAGAGGCTCGGCCTCCTCATATTTGCCCTGGAATGTGACGGGAGAAGAAATAGCTATTTGATGGCGCTGTACGTGCTCGGCAATCACAGCCCCCGCCCGGTTGTTGCGCCGTGTCGCAGGGGCCGGGTGGTCAGGGCCTTACATGTTCTCTCCAATTTCGATATCTTGAAGATACAGAGGATGCGCCTGGGCATACATGCCCTGGGAGGGGAACGAAACGCTTCATGACATTATGGTGAAGGCAAGAAATCTCATTGTGGAAGTACACACGCTCAACAACCGCGCCCAGTTGTTGAGCGACTGCGCCATATCGGGGTGCTCCGGACCAAGCACCTTCTCTCGCATGGGATGTGCCCGCTCATAAGTTGGCTCGGCCTCAGCGTAGTTGCCCAGGCACAAAGTCGCACACAACCCGTCAAAGTTGTATTCATAGTTCAATGAACGCTTCTCTCATATATTGACCATAGCCGTTTGTAAAGTGGCTCGGTCTTGTCGTACAATTATCAGATAGTTGATGTAAGGGAGTTGGGGTTTGAGAAAATTAATCACCGACCGAATGTGGACCCACATCTGGGTCCGGATGCAGGGTGTTGTCTCCAATAAGCAACATGTGACTGCTCATTGAGAAGCTTCGCTATAATCTAACGATTCACCAACAAGCGTGCCAAATTACTGGCAAAGTCGAAAATTATGATGGCCCTCACCTGACTATCCAACAACGACGCCAGGCTATCGAGGGCAGTAGCGACGGACGGGTGGTGAGGACCTAGGGCCTTCTCGCAGATAGCCAGCGACCGAACGTACAGAGGCTCGGATTCCTCATATTTGCCCTGGAATGTGACGGGAACAGAAAGAGGACGCTGATTGCAAATAAACTCCAGCCAACAACCCCGACCGGTTCGTGAGTCGTGTGCAAGGTCTGGGTTGTCCACGCACCGCAATCGACGGTGCCGCACCCCCCCCCCCCCACAATTTCGGCCAAAAACTGTCAAAATGTTGTCGTATGCCCCGGGGTGGTTGTTTTTTCTAAAACGAACAAACCCCCCATTTTCAACGCACGCCCGGGGTTAAGTGTACTTTTCAGCCTTTTGGCTAAGATCCCTCCAGTATATTTTCTTTCGGACGAATTTCATGAATATTTCGACCATGACAACCAAGGGTGCACAAAAAAAAGTCTTCCTGCACACCTACCCGACACCCTCCCCCCCCCCCGGGAGAAGGACGATTTTGTTTTTCGTGGTACATTTTTGTCGAGGCTTTGTTGGCTTTCTCGCTCTCCATTGCGTGTGCTTGCGTGTGGTGTTCACGGCACGCAGAAGTGCACAAGGACCTTGTTACCAGTTTTTAGTTTTTTTTATAGGTTTGAGATAATTAATCAATTAATGGTGTGTACATTCGGCGCTGGGAGATTGCTACTTTGTATAAATAGCTGTGATGGGCTATACTAAAATAGTTGTAGTTGGTTTTCACGTCTTGGGAGTACAGTGCTTGGGGACACCCCCTCAAGCTAGAAGGAACTTAGAATTCTCAATGCTTCTGCGACAAGTCCGCGACATTTGACCTTAGGCGAATATGGCGCAATAACACACGACACACAAGAACCAAAGGACACACAAAATATCATGCGTCAAAACGTCAGCAATCAATACAAGCATACTCAAGCCGGCAACATACCGAAGAGGGGCTGCCGATGAGCCTACGGCGATGGCGTCACCTTCACCACGCGCGTTCATACTTATTCACTCCCCCAGGCCCCTCCACCTCCCTCAACAAGACTAAACCGCTGTTACTTCGAGCGCTTTCGCCCCGAGCACCTTCGCCCTCCGTTCTCGTCCTCCTCACCCCCACCCCACCCTCCACCTTCTCAAGCTCGCCCTCAGGGGCTACGTGGGCTGTTACTACCCCCGTTCATGGAATGTGCCCCCTTAATATATAGGACTTAGCATGGGAATTATTATATAGGAATTTGCATGGCGTCGGGGGGGGGGGACCGGCCTTCCTACCCCCCAC